TGTATTCCAAGTAATATGCAGTTCTGTGCATATTTTCTGTTTTGCAAGAATTCACAGGAGGGGCCGGGGATTTAGCTCAGCGGTTCGGTGGCCTGCCTTGCAAGCGCAAGGACCCGAGTTCAATCCCCGGTACCAAAAAAAAAAAAAAAAGAAAAAGAATTCACAGGAAACATCTTTGGGCAAAAGGCCTGAGAACTAAGGGGAGGGATGTTCATTTTTTCTTTGTTTTGAGGTTTTACAATTTTTTAAAAAACCTGTGTTAGGTTGTGTGTGTGTGTGTGTATGCCCGTGTATTTTTAAAAATATGTGTCTAGTCAGGAATTAAGTTTATTTCTACATCTGTAAATTGAAAGTGTTTAAGTAAATTGAAAGTATTGGTAGGTAAGGATTATATACTCCTGTATTTTAATGTATATTTTAGGGTTTGGGGATTGGTTCTGTTCTGTTCTTTTCTTTCCCTCGAGACAGAATCTCACCATGCTGGCCTTGAACTCACTATGTAATATAACCCACACTGGCCTGGAACTCACAGCAATCCTCCTGCCTCAGCCTTCCTAATGCTGGGATTACAGCATAGCCCACTGTGTTTGGCCTTGTTTTGTTTTATTTTTAAGTAATGTATTTTAGATGGATAAAACTGGATTCTGTATGAGCCATGTTGAATAAAAATTAGAGGAGACTGTTTTGGACTAAGTTCCTACATTAGGCCTCACTAGACCAGTGTGAAAATTAAAGTGGAGCTGAGCTGTTTATCTGAGCTTCTAAGGAAAATCAAGATCAAAGAGATAATAGCCAAATTTCCCAGACCTGCCACTTTGAGATAGCATGATATTGAAGATCCCTTCATGTTAGCCCTTTTTCACAGGAGGTAACCTGAAGTAACCTGGTATTAATCAATAGGTTGTTTTTCTGCTCTATTGTCTCCCTATCCCTGCTTTATAAGGAGGGTCACTTTTGTTTCTGCTATACTGGGGATTGAACACAGGGCCACCTGTATGCTGCACACACACTCTGGCGCTAATGTGTATTACCAGCCCTTTTAAAATTTGAGACAGAGTCTTTCTAAATTGCCCATTGTGGCCTGGAACTTGTGATTCTGATTGATGCCTCAGCCTCCCAAGTAACTGTGATTGCTACCATTGTCTAATTACCTAGCAGAGTAACTTTGAAATGGCTGATCCACTTTTTGTTTTGTTGTTTTTGCTTTCTTCACGCTCTTTTCTAGATGTAAAACTAACCTCCTCTGACCAACACATTAAAACACTCTATGCAATGAAATAAAAAATAAAGACAATTAAGGTTTTTGAATTAAATTGTAATTTTGCTCTTTGACAGAGACAGGCTAAAGGAGCAGAAAAAGGGGTCCATATTAACTATTTCAAATTTAAGAATTTTTTTTTTTGGTATTGAAGTATCATTAATTGGTGCATGCTTTATCACCTGTTTGCTTCCTCACTGCTATCTTGCTTGCTGCCTGTACTACAGATAAGCTAACTCTTCCACCCCACCCTCATATTTTATACTTTGCATTCTTCTAAAGCTTTACATTCTAGCTTGCTTATTTCTTTCTTCGTGATTTAAATATTCTGCCCTTTGTGTTTACCCTTTTAAAAATTTGTTTTATTTGAGACAAGATCTGGCTGTGTAGTTCAGGGTGGCCTTGAATTCACTATGTAGCCCAGGCTGGCCTCAAACTTGTAGAGATCCTCCTGCCTCAGCCTCCTGAGTGCTGTGATGACAAGTGTGTGCCACCACATGTGGCTGTGTTTACCATTACTGGGTAAAACAGATACATGCCAGGATGTAAAATGTAAATTCCATTGTAACTAGCTACTAGTCACAATTAAAGATTTCTCAGAGGTGGGCGTATAAATCAGTGCCTCCTAGATAGTTTGATATAATCCATCACAATTTATATTATATATACTCTTATCTCTAGCATCACAAACAAAAATATATGCTTAGCTACAATAATTCTTCCCTAGGAATTTATCCTAAAGATATATTCACACATGTGCAAACATGTATGCAAAAGGAAGAGTGTTCAAGAAATTATAAATGGTATCTGCTTAGAAAAGAAAAAGTAGTCCAAAGTGGGAGACCTACCTACCTGTTATTATATGTCTTCTAAAGTTCATGTTTATCTTTTTTTTATGCATTTTGAGCATCTCTACTCCAGGAATCTGAAATGTTGCAATATTGCACCAATATGGTGCATAAAGTTTCAGATTTTCAGATTAGGTCAGTAAAGTTTGTGCAAATTTTCCAAAACCTGAAAAACTCTAAAGCACTTCTTGACATGAGCATTTTGAATAATAGATACTCAGCCAGTTAAGTTGGTATTTTATATTAAAGAGAGAAACTAAGCTGAACAGAGCCTACTTTCCACTTGTGTAACATAGTACGTATAGGTTCTTATGGCTAGTGGATTTTCTTGAGTATGTTTTTCTTCAAAGGTCAGCATTGCTGACATTATGCTTCTTTATCAACCTGACTGTAATATTTTGATAACCTTAAGTAATCCTTTAGTAATTAAGAGCTCATTTCTGATGGTAGGTTATTTTATAGAGTATATTTGTACTTATCTGTTATATATGCACACACATATATCATTATGTCTATTTTTTTATTCCTCCAACATTTTTTCTTTACTTCCTCTATTCTTTATCTCTTCAAGCCATTCACATACCCTTTCTGACCCATGTTCTGCATACACTCATTCCTTACCCCCTCTCCATTGCCTGTAGACCATGTGTTTTTTCCCGTGCTTGTGTCCATGTATACGTGTGTATATGTCTACGCAGATTACACACTGACATAAGCACAGACATAAAGGGATATTTTTGGTTTTTTTTTAAAAAACCAGTTATTACATAATTTTTAAAATTGCAGGGGCCAGGGATTTAGCTCAGCAGTTCGGTGGCCTGCCTTGCATGCGCAAGGACCCGAGTTCAATCCCTGGTACCAAAAAAATAAAATAAAATAAAATAAAATAAAATAAAATAAAATAAAATAATTGCATTTTGCTATTTTAGCACTGCACTGTGGAGATACCACCAAGTAACTAGGGATAACAATGATTAAATCATATTAATTGATCAAACTATATTGTAGGGGTTTATTCAGCCATTCTTGTAGTGTTTGAAACAATTCTTTGTAGACAAGAAATTAGAGAATAATTGAAAATAAACATTCTTTACATATTTCCTTATGCATGAGTATATTTATTTCTATAGCACAGATTTTCAAGAGTAGACTTACTAAATTAAAGTTGTAAATACTTTAAATTTTAAAATCTTGCTAGCTTCCTTTTCAAAGGAATGTCACATTTAGACCAGTACAATGCGGTGGTACCTTTTGAAGAGATACCTGTCTTCTTAATATTTCCTACGGTGATTTGGCATTGTTAAATTGTTGTTTTGTTGACTTCTAGTGTATTTTTTGGTTTGTTTGGTTTTTGGTTTTTATGTGACAGAGTCTTGTAGTGTAGTTCTGGGTTGGCCTGGACCTCACTATGTAGACCAAGCTGACCTTGAACTCACAGCAATCCTCCTGCCTCAGCATCTCACGTGTTCTGTGCACTACCATGCCTGGCCTGACTTCTAGCATATTTGAATATTGTAACTTAATTACTTAGATCCACACCTTCTGTACATATCAAATATTTTCTTTCCTGACTGAAATACTTAATTTTTTTCCATAATAGAAGTTTTTAATATTTTTGCATCTATCTTTTTTGTGTATTTTATTCCTGGCCTTAAAAATTTGTATATGACCTGTTTTCTAAATTTTGTTGTAAAATATGTTGCTGTGATTTTCTTTTTACCTTTATCTTTGATCCACCTGCAGTATGAATATATAGGAGGCAATGCAAGCAGCAACATTCTCAGTAGATTTTCTTTATATTTTACATCTAATTTTTTAGGACAGATTTTTTTAAAATCAGCAAGGAAATTAACTGCAAGAACTTCATTAATGCTATATTTTAGGATATGCAAATGTGAAAGATTTCTAACTTTACCCTGTGTATTTCACATATATCTTTAGTCACTGTTAGACACTTTGGTCTTGTTTAATATAATTCAGTGCTGAATGTGTATTTTAATGTTTTTTTTTTTTTTACATCAGTTATCTTTAACTTTTGTCAAGAGTTAATAGAAATAATTATCTGTATAGATTGTGCTTGGAAACTTCTAGTAAGTTTAGCCCTTACAATTTCTGGTTTCCTAGACATGAGTAGTAGATTTTATTTTTTGTGAAGACCTGTGTATGAATGAAAAGGGGTCAGAGTGTCTCAATGGCAAGTAACATAGTGGAATACAAATCAGAAGGTGGAAGTACTAGAACCCTCCATTGTTAATGTGCACTGTGTTCTGTCATCTGAATGTAGCATGGTATTTAAAGTGGCGATAATAGCCATTACTACTGGATAGTTTGTGAAGCGCTTCATCCCTGTTTAAATTTTTTTTAGTTATCAGATAGCCCTGTTTTACAGATGTGAAAATTGAGTCAGGGAAATTAAGTCGCTTGAGATTATGTTAGTAGTAGTAAAAAATAGCAGTATACATACTTATAATTAGACACAGAATTTGCCTCATAATTAAGATATTTAGTTAGAATCATCCCAGGGCTTGTTGTTTATAGGATCCTTGTGAATAAGCTGATGTTATTATTGAAGAGTTATCGTAAATGTTCACACAGTACATGTGTTGTCCTGCATGTTTAATTCTTTCTCTGAGTGGTTCCTGGTAATGAATTAAACTTCAAGGATATGATTTTCATTATTTTTTTCAAGTGAATTATTTGGAAGTTTCCCAGTGGTATTTTCTATTTTCTTTTTTTTTTAAATGCTTCAAATTTGTATTCCATTTCAAAATTACAAAATGATTTTTAGAAATATGATTAGCTAATATTAAGTTTTACTATCCTTAAGCTATGGAGGTTGTTTATTTAACCCTTGAGTAACAAATTTTTCTCAATTTTCTATGTTTTTTCTACAGAACGGTAAATAACGGTGATTATCTTTGGAAAGGATATTGATCCACCTCATGTAAAGTATGCTCAGTTCCTTTCCAGTGGTGTAAGTATCTAATTCTTCACGATCTTTATCCTCTTGATTGAATTAATAAAGAAATCATTATGGTTATGATTCATATTTGACAACAGACATTTGTAGAGTTGAAAGAATTTTTAAGAAAAAGAATCCAAAGGTATACCTGTTTGACATTGAGGTGAACAAGTGTCATAATCATGTGAAGAATGAATTTTCAGGGCTGGGGGATGTAGCTCAGTGGCATCACACCTGCCTCACAAGCGTTAAGGTCCTGAGTTCAATCCCTGGTACCAAAAAAAAAGGAATTTTCAGGTCATCTTCCTCTTTTGTCATTTCTATTTTCAATTTTGGATTTTGACATTAATTTTCCATTGAACATAAAATTACTATCATTTTTAACTGCATAATGACCTAGAAGATTGTGAGCTAGATGGTAACTATTGGAGAGTGCTAGTTGTTAGATTCTTTGTGACTAGCAGAACATTAGAAGCATATTATCTTAATGCTGCCTTTTGTAGGGGAACTCCTAACACCCTAGCCATTTCTTCTTACCTACTGGGGATAGAAATGTAGGTAAGCCTGTTAGCTAATGTAGTTGCTAGCCTGTCTTTGAAGTCAGGCTAAAAAAAAAAATACAAATTGAGATGGTAATATTATGCTGAGTGTTTTTGTGCTAGGATATGAACTGTAACCACCAGTTCATATTAAATAGCACATTATGTAATAAAAGTATTCTGGGAATTTCAGATATTAGAGAAGATAAAGTATCTATTAGCTCATTAAGTGCATCTTTAGATTTTAATGCAGAGTGCCTTCAGCATAAATATTTTCTAAAATTTTGTGGAATCTGTATTTCACTTAAATTTTTTCCATTTTGCTTGACACTTCTTAATCCAATTAATAGAGATAAGCTTTCTGTATTGTTTAAGTTTCTCATTAAAGCCACCTTCAACATTGAGTCTCTGATTTAGGGAAAAGTTTCTGGAATAAGCTTGAGTTCCTCCTAAGTAGCTATGATCTTGGGAAAGTACTTCATCTTTTTGAGCCTTGATTTTCCTTTTTTAAACCATTTGCTTACCAGTAGCTGTGCTCAGTAGCCAACAGATTGTAAGCATCATGAGGGTAGAAATTTTTGCCTGGTTTATTTCTTGTTGCATCCTCTGTGACTCTTACAGGGTCTAACACATAGTAGGAACTTGATTAATTGAATGACAATTTTTTTGTCTAAGTGGTCTCCAGTTCTCTGATTCTACATCAAATTTATATATTCCTCTATAAACTTGCATATTTCTACTTGGATTTCGTTGTGTGTGGTAGGAATACAGAAATATTCAAAGTATGATTTCATAAGTCACATGATTTACTGCCATACAAAGAGGATTTTTGTTTAGATTCCCAAAGCTTAATCATTTGGAAATTAATGTGAACAAACCCTGTAGGAAATACACTAATAAACAGGACATTTGTGCACATAGTGATTGAGTAGCAAAATTATCCAACTCTAGTTGCTCATTTAGGATGGATGTTGGCTTCTGTGGAAAGTCTAAGATTGAGGTATACCTTTATAGGAGCGGTTCTCACCTTGACCACCACAATGGAGATCAGAGAAGACGGGAAGACACATAAGTTCACTCCATAGTAGAGGGCACTGCTGGTGTTGGCAGGTGAGGCTTCAAAGCTCTGAGGTCTCTGATAGCCTGAGCTATCAAAGTGTCTGTCAAGCTCCTGAGTTTGTGTATATTTTGAAGTCAAGCAGTCAGTAGTAACTCACATGTGGGGGTCTGATGAGATGTGATGTAACATTCCTGAAAGAAGAGGGAGTTGGTAAGGGAAAGGGGATAATACTCCAAGTTCTCACCTGTAGGGGTGCAATAAGACGATATTTTCAAGGGGCAAAGGAGCTGCTCCAAGTTCTCATATAAAGTCTGATAAGATGTCACACTCTGGAAAGGAGCACACTCCTGAGTTCTTATTATAGCAAAACATAGAACATATATTACTCATATAGCAAAGTAAGTATTTGATGTCATTTCAAAGATACTAACAGATTTTTCCCAAAAATGTCCATCAGATGACTACAGTGAAAAAAAGCAAAACACCTCAATCTTAATTAATGGAAATTTAAAACTATTAAAGTGTGATTGACTCATTGGAATGTATTCCTACTTTTCTCAAAGTCCTTGTTAAATGAAAATAACATTGTAGGCCATTATCTATACTCTTATGCTTCAGTTACTTCTCCTTTGACTTGAATTATAGAATCACTTTTGCTATACTGTTCAGTTCAGTTCCTAGTAAAACTTCATTTCTTACTTATTTTCACTTTTTGCCTTTTTCTTATTTTAAAACTGCTACTCCTTTGACAGTAGTAATACTTGAGAAAGAGACCAATGTGCCATAAATAGTAAAAGGACCTGAATGCATCTTCAGCTGATGAATATTATTATTGACTCTAGAATGTGTTAAATCATCCTGCAGTGAATACCACATGTGCAAAACAAAACTTTTGCCTAGTCATTATAGATAAAAAGATAAAAGCAGGAGAATCCAGCTGCAGAAAAGCTTCATTGTCAGTATAATCTTGCTATTGATGCTTTACAAGCAAAGATCGTGGGATTTCAAGGTTAATCATTTGTGAATGCTTTAACCTTCTTTACTTTACAAATTTGTAGAATTTAGTTTATAAAAGTACATATATTCTGGACCTCATTCTTTATCCAAAAAAGTTTGAGGCATATATTCAAGTGGTGTTAAAATTTATTGGAAAGTACCACTAGTCTCATGATACAGTCGAAGGCATCAGTTTATGAACTGAACCATAATTCCTGAATTTAATTGTTCTTTATAGTTTAAACATTGTCTATGTTATTGCAGTATTAAAATTCTTCTCATTTTCAATTACTGTGACCGGAGTCTGCATTCAGTTTAGTAATTTAAAGTGAAAAATATTCTTTATCCTGTGAATAATCTTTGCGCATAGGAAAACTAATTGTTTTTTCATGTTATCTTTTTCTTTTATATACAAATTGCTGGTATTATAGACTTAGATGACCATTATAGGTCATTTACTGCTGTAATTTCATGTTTATGTGCTTACTCTAGGTACATTATAAGAAGTAAAATTTAAAAATGCCATAATGTTTGCTTTTGTTTATGTTAATGCACATTGGAGTATTATTCTCAATACCCAGACTGCTTCTAATCTTGATATTTGCTTAGTAAGGTACTGTTATCTTGAGAATCACATGCATGATTTGACCCTGCCCTTTATACCCGCATCATTACACTCAATAGTGATCATTCATTCCATTCCAGCACCTGTGTGCTTGTTTTTGCTTTAGCTGTGCCTTTGCATTAGGGACCTCTCTTGGCACAAGCTATAGACATTTAATTTAAACAAGGTGAAACATAAAGGGAAATAAATTTATTTTCTCCCAACACAAAATAAAAACAGGAATGTATAGGGTTAGGAATTACGGGAATATCTACAAAGAGCTTTCTCCTTTATTATATATTCTGCATTTCTTCTTTTATTCTCCCACAAACTAGCTTTTTCCACACAGTGAAGAATTTGCCAAACTAATATCCTCCTGTACCTGAGCACAGTTATAGCGATGATTTCATTTGCCCCTCATCTAACAAAATCTGAAGAGACCAACACTTAGTCTCCTTGTGTGCCTCTCCATTCACCAGAAGGTGAATGTTATGAGTGGCAGTCCCAGAAGGGTTCCTGGAAACAGTGAGTTGTTCTAGGAAAAAAGAAGTCATAGAAGTCTACTATTTCTCTTTTTGTGACTTTTAGAATAAAAGTAGTTTCCATTTGTCCATGATTCCAAAACGATGCAAAGTATTGCACTGTTTTAGATGCTTTAGTTATATAACACTTCTGTTTTAAGCATTTGGATGGATGCTTTTCAGTAAGAAATAAAATTCATATAATGTATGTTAATAAATAGTGCTCTTCTATACAGGGGGAGGTTTGAAGAATTGCACTAATCTATCCTGCTCTAATCTAAATAGGATAGGAAAATACCATGATTGGTGTTTGTCCACTTCTTGAAGCCACATATCTAAAAAGTAAGATTAGTTTATGAAATATTTTAATAAGATGAAGCCCAATGGTAGAACCAGAACAAGTCTATTTCATTGTCAGGGGAAAAGGATGATATATAGAAACCAGAATTTACCAAGCCAATAAATTAAAAGGTAAATTATTGGATTAGGCAATGTCTTTGAAAAGAATTTCAGAGGAGTGAGATATTGCTAAGCACTTGACAGAGTAGATGAAGCACTAAGGATTTAAATAGAAACTAAAGTGTTCAGTGTCTTTTATAAGCTGTTAGGAAAATATCCACTTAACTTTTCAAGAAACTTTTCATTTAAGTAAAATATACTTCTAAAGTGCACAAACCAGTAATGTCCACCTTTTATGAATTTCCAGAGAGAATTCACTTGAGTAATACAATGAGCATATCGATTGAGGTAGACAAAACTAGTAACTATATAACATTTTACACTAAATCAAGGGCCTTGCACATGCTATACAAATGCTCTACCACTAAGCTACATCCTCAGCCTTTTTGATTTTTTATTTTGAGACAGGGTCATGCTAAATTGCCCAGGCTGGGTTTAAACTTGTGATTCTTCTGCTTCAGCCTCCTAGAGTGCTAGGATTACAGATGTGTGCTACTGTATTGGGCTAAATTTTTTGGTATTAAACAAAGTAAGCAGATTTTCTGAAATTAGTTAAGAGAAAATGAGTCACTCAGGTTGCAAGTTCTGTTGTGGAGAGGTGATGATATGGGGGAATTCTAAAAAGAAAATTATGAGAATATGGTTGTAATAACCAACGCATTTAAAATTGCTAGTACAGGACTGGGGATTTAGCTCAGTGGCTCTGCTGCCTGCCTTGGAAGCCCAAGGGCCTGATATCTAAATAAATAAATAAATAAAAATAAAATTGCTAACACAGTCACTGAAAACAATCTGTGTCCATCAGTAGAATGTGTAAAGCCTGTGGCCTAATCCCACAGTGAAATACTCCTTAGCCATGAAAAGGAACAAGCATGCTAAAATGTAAAATGTCATCTATGAATCTCAAAAAAATTAAACTTAATAAAAGATTTATACAAAAGAGTAAATAGAGTGTAAATAAGGGTTTGTAAGAAAGGCAAAGTAATCCATGGCCGAAACAGTTATTGCCTCTGAGGGAAAGGAATTTTTATGATTTGGCCGTTCTCTTGATGGAGAGGTGCCAGAGAGAGCTTTTTGGGGTGACGGGAAGCATTCTGTATGTTCAGATGAATTCGAGTTTTAGAGGATGTGTACTTCTCAAAACTCTTCAAAGGCAAACATAAAATTTGCATACTTTCATGTAAATTTTACCTCAAAAGAGAAAATCAGGCCAAATAGTAAGATCTAGTTAATGACATGCATGCTGAAGTGTTTAGAGGACAGTGTACAGATGTCTGTAATTGATTTTGAATGCATCCAAAAATGCAGTGAATTGGAGATGGGTGGGTAAATGAATGGATATATATGTACTGGTACAAATGTTATAAAAAGAGAAGAGTAAAATTTAGGTGGTTAGTATGTGGGATGTTCACTGTAAATTTATTCTAACTTTTCTACAGGTTTAAAATTTCTCATAAGACACGCTATACTAAGGCAATCAAAAATATAATAATTGTGCATGAAGGTCTTTGTTTTATGATGGGTAGCTTGTCACGAGTGAGTATTGGAAGAAATCAGGCCATAATGTGTCTAGGTGCAAGGCAAGTAGTCTGGCCCATGAGCACAGATGGTCTGAAGCATATTACTCTGTGTTCCTAATGATAAAGAGAACTTCTATAAAGAGTCTAAAGCTACAAAATATTAAGGAAATACAGAATAACCAGTGTCTTTCACTTCTCTAATTTGCTTTGCTTTGCTTGCTTCTCAGGATAACAATACCAGAGGTTTCATCATTAACTACAAAGCTTGAAGGCACATAGCCCCATTTTAAAATGTTATACGATTAACAGATGCTGGAGGTGCTTAGCCGCATCCCCAGGGTGAGATCAGATGTTCAAACTAATATAACAATCGCCATCCTTACAAGCAAAGTATACTTAGACCCTAAACCCTAAGCTTTCTGTAAAGCATATGACTATAAAAGAGTTAAGATAAAAAGAATGTCACCAGTCCTGCTTTCCTAACCGTGAGCCCCCACTCTTGTGGGCTAGAATAGCTAACTAGGTGAATCCTAAAGATAAACATCCTAACAGCAAAGAAGATGCTACATCTAGGTTAAAATTAAAATGTCATGTGACCATGATTGTACATTTGTGATGGGAACTGAGGGAACTGGAATGTCTTATCAAACTACCTAAAATGAGATCATGATTGTAAAACTCCTATAAAAGACTGATTGTGACCCATCCCGGGGTTGGTCATATGGCATAGCCCTTGGTGCACGCCGACCCTTTGCTCGCAAATTAAGTGTTTTTGCTTTACCCACTCTGTGTCTCTGTGTGTCACTTACCAGTCCCTTCTGCAACACTAAAATGTGTGTTTAAATTGAATTTTTATTGAGCCATTTTTTTTGAGACAGGGTCTCACTATGTAGTTGAGATTGACCTAGAACTTACTATGTAGCCCAGGCTGGACTCAAACTCACAGTGATCCTCCTGCCTCAGCCTCCCAAGTGCTGGGATTACAGGCATGCACCACCATGCCTGGCTTATTGAGACTATTTTTAAAGCTAGGAGACTTCACATAAAAATTCTAGGTTTCTGCCTGCTTATTTTAAAAAGCTTTTGGAAAACAAAATAGTTAATGGAATGAAATAGAGAATCCAAAAGTAGTTACAGATTCATACGGAAATTTTATACATGATAAAAGTAGCATTTCAGATCAGGGAAGAAGCATATTAGTTAATAAATCATACTGGACAACTAGCTGTCCATTTACAAAGAAATTCTAAATCCTTTCACACTCAAATATAAATTCTAAATTAAACTAAGGTTTTAATTGCTATGACTTACTAATCCATCAGTAGAGTGGTTTTATCTGAATCATTTTAACTGGAGACTTCAAGGAGTACAACAGTCTATGTTCTGAATATTTTTAATTCTAATAAGTCCTACAGTATAATGTCTGCTTTGGGAGTCAATAGATGCATCAAGTTTGGTACTAGAACAATAAAAATTAAAATAGAAAAGATTACTACTTTTAAAATCATGTATTCAAATCAATTTTTATTAAAGGATTTTTTTTGAAGCAAAACATTTATTGGTACATTTTCGCTATACATAGTGATAGCAGTCATCATAGGGAATTTGTACCAGAACATGGTACAGCTTGCTTCTCCTTTTTTTTCCCAATCCCTCCCCTCTTTTGACCCTTCTTACTTTCCTTATTTATAACAGCTTTGCTTCTATTTTTTTAAAAAGGAATTTAGGGAAAATTTTTATGATTTTGCAATTGTTTTAAACTAAATATTGGTATTCACTCCAAGAAAATATTTTCTGATGTGCTTCTGTACCTTGTGCTAGTTAAAAGGAAAAATGTAGAAGCAATTTTCTAAGAAAAATGAGTAGGTTCATTTGGCTACAACCATAAAAGTTCCACTTTCAGGATAAATATACAGAGCATGCTTCACATAGATGAAAACTTAGGAAATTGCTAAGAAGTGGATGAAGTGGTGCTTCATAAGTTTTTTTTTTAAATATACCTGTCTTTTCATTTAAAAGTCTTTGCTGGTTATTAATATTTGCTTGGGCTTAGCCAAGCAAATATCATTTGTTCTTACTGAATTGAGTTACAGAGCTTTAGGTCAGTTTTGCTCATACTTGGTGAAGCAAGATGATGTATACTGTTTTTTCAGCAATTTTCTATTTATGTCATATTGGAGTATAATTAAGTTTGAAATATTTTTAAAATGTTATCACATAGTGTGTGCTTATTGGACCTTATGTACTTGTTGTTTTAGTGTTATTGATACAACTAAACTTTTAGTTCCAATATTGACAGTGTAAATTATATGCCACAATAAATTGTACCTCATGTTATACCCTATTTCTAGGTGCTAATAAACTCAGTATCTGTACCAATTCATTTGCATGGTAAAAACATTTTAGCATGGGATGTATCTTAATAATTTCAGTAAAAATGTTGATACAGAAATTATGCATCTGCTGAATATTTTCTGTAGTAGGTACTTTGGTAAATGTTCACAATAAAGAGACTTTCTAAAAAATCTTTTTCCGTTTTGTTTTTAGTTTGCTGGAAACCATGTCTCACTATACAGATGAACCCAGATTTACCATAGAACAGATAGATCTACTTCAGCGCCTTCGGCGTACTGGAATGACTAAACATGAAATTCTGCATGCCTTGGAAACTCTGGACCGTCTTGACCAAGAGCATAGTGACAAGTTTGGAAGAAGGTCCAGCTATGGAGGAAATTCATATGGGAATAGCACCCACAATGTTCCAGCATCTTCCTCCACAGCTACAGCTTCCACACAGACCCAGCATTCGGGAATGTCCCCATCACCGAGCAACAGCTATGATACTTCCCCCCAGCCTTGCACTACCAATCAAAATGGAAGGGAGAACAATGAGCGATTGTCTACATCCAATGGGAAGATGTCACCAACTCGCTACCACGTAAATAGCATGGGTCAGAGGTCATACAGTTTTGAAGCCTCGGAAGAGGACCTAGATGTAGATGATAAAGTGGAAGAATTAATGAGGTTAGTTACTTTGCTTACTCTGAGTCTCCAAAATGACTACATTTTTAGATTGCTTTTAAGTAATAATCTGTATTTCAGCCACCTGTAAAAACTGTAACTTCTCCATTCCTTTTTTGGAGAAGGAAAAAAATACAAATTTTATGTTTATAATTGAAATTTTCTCTACTTCAGCTCTTTTTGCTACTTGATAATCCTTTTTTATTCTGCCTATTTATCAAAGGTTAGACTTCTCTTCATGGCTCTGGCCATGAACGGAAGTTAGTCTAGTCTTTGTTTTTCTAAGTACTTTTTCTGAGGGATAAGGTAATTTTATCATGCTATGTACACTTTTCCTTTTTTCTCTCCAACATTCCAATCAACAAAATAATTTGAGCACGAATTAAATTAAGAAGTAATTTTTAGTAAGAAAAACACTGTTTCTGCCCCTAAGACGTGAAAGTTCTAATTTTAGCAGTAGATATAACACATGCAATTGTGCATGCACACATGTACACACTCAAGGGTTTTAAACACCAAGAAAAGAGACCCACCTTCAACACAGGTAATTAGGAAAGGCTTCATACCAGATTTGGGACACAGAGCTTCACAAATGTGTTTCTCATTGTTTGTCTAGAACATAAAACTTTCCTTTAGCACATAGTTAATGGCTTAATTTTTTGAGTGAGTGAATTTGACATAAACCTTAAAGGATAGCCTTTGTTTTGAAATATAGGAACTTCTAGAAAGTGTCAGAGAAGTCAAGGCCTGTCTTCAGCCTGATAAAGGGGTGAGCCACTTCCCAGGCCCAGGCATCACTTGCTTTGGAATTTAGTCTGTTGTCATTGTAGAGAAAAGAGAGGTCCATTTGAGCAAATAAAAGTTTGTTCACTCATTGGAATATAGTAAGACATGCTTTTAATTATCTAGAGTAAAGTGTGTTTAAGCAATAAAAGTACTTTTTCAGATGTATGGGATTGTTATTGCTGTTAACCTTGATAAGCTTTTGATATAATAATTCCCAAATGTGTATTATATTAACAAAATGCATGGAAAAGTGTAGAAAATTGTTGCTTTCTTCTCCTTCCTTTTCTCCTTCCTTTCTCTCCGCCCCCCTTTCTTTCTTTTTCTTTGTGATTTGTGACAAGGTATTACTATATAGTCTAGGCTGACCTTGAAGTTCAGGCTCAAACTTTTGATCTTTCTCCTACAAGCTTGCGCCTCCATGAAATTGTCTTTTTAACAAAACACTTTGGAAGACTAAAAAGTATAATACGGGTTTAAAAACTTGACTTTTAAAATATGGATTGGCCTGTGATGCTTTGTTTCAGCTACAGTAATACCTCCATTGTCAAACTCAGTTCATTCCAAATTTGTGTTCAAATACTGAAAAGTTCAAGAACTGAACATATTTTTCCCATAGGAAATAATGGAAAACTAAATAACTGGTTCTGAGACCTAAAAATTATACTTAAAAATTCATTTTTTTTGGACTATTGAATTTCACAATGATTTCTTTCTTTTAACTCTATTGTAGTTTTCACAGTTTTTCTCTTAGCTTTACTGCTGGTACCACTAACTTTCTTTGGAGGTATGGATATGATATTTTACACAAATAAAGTGCCAAAAAAGAAAGCACAGTGACGAATGTTTTAATACACTAACACAAGCACTATATGATGCCTGTGCGAGAGCAGCACTTAGACGGAAGCGTCACACCTTTTTGTCTGCGGTGAGACACCATGTGTGACTCACTCTTGCCCCATACAGGTATTTTCAAGTCAGATTTTCCATTTGACAACGGAGCAAAATTACAAACACCCAAGCAGATTTTTTCAGACATTGCTGTCTATGTAGTGGAAAGTGAGCTTGGAAATGTTCGACAACCTAGGTATCACTGTATATGTCTAACAGGAAACCTGTTAGCATTGACTGAGATTTGTAGTTAAATCCTACACTTATACTCATTCAAGTTTCATTGTTTACTATATGTAGTTTTATATGTTGTAATCGGTGTTTAATTTGTATATTACAGCTTGTTGTACAATTAAGATGCTACCTTCTCCATAATAGAGTTACTACTTCTTCCCTTTCTCAGCTTTCTTAGGACTGCTGCTGTGTTGTCCTTTAATTACACAAGGGTCTCCCTGGACGTTCTGGATGCTCTGGCTCTCTGCCATTGTACCTTCCTCCACTCCGCACTCCTGCTTTCCTTCAGTGTAACCCTCTTCCTCACTCTTACTTTCCTCCCCCATGCCCCCAGAGGATAATTCTTCTTAGGTCTAAGGGAGAAGTTTATGGAGTGACTGTTCTCACTTGTAATCATTATAGCCATGCTATGAAGTTAATCAGGAAAACTAAGATTCATAAAAATTAAACAATTTGCCCAAGAAAACTTAAATATTAGGCAACAGAGCCTAAATTACAACTCATGTCGTTATTGTGTGTTGCTTTATTATCAGTGTTTTCTCTGTAAATAAATTATTCATGTTTATAGATTTTAATAAGACTTTAGGAAAGATAGTTAACTCCAGACACAGTGTAAATGGATTTATTTGACTTGCTATTCCCCTTCACCCATATGAAATTTGCCGCTTTGCATCACTTACTAATCAAATGAATTTTTATTTGGTGGAATGTTAGAGATACTCTTTGAGTAATGTCTGTGTTGAGTGTTCTGTACCCACCTACAGATATACTGCCCTTGCTGACCCCTCAACATTGGTGATACTAGAGTGAATTGGAACTGCTGATCTCTTGTACAAAGCATGGGTCCTTGGATGCCTTCCTTTCTCCATTTTTTTGTACATAAAAACCTACCTCTCTCTTACATTCCCCAACCTCCAGGACACTCACCCACAAGACTTATTTTTCAGATCTTATAATCCAGTGATACTTTAGTGAATTACAGTGATTTCCAGGTATGTAATAGAGATTTCTTTGGAGAACCTCATCAAGTTAAAATTGTGTACCTCATCAGCTAGGAAAGAGTCAAGAAAAAAAAGTAACTGCTGCTACTTTGCCTACTTTTTAATTAGGGTTAAAAAAAAACAAAACACCAACCAAACAAAAAACAAAAAGAAAGGCCAGCTAGTGTATGAATTCCCAATAAGTCATCAAATATAACATTTTAGGAAGGAGTTTAAACTCATAATGAAGACTCATTTCACATTTTAATGTCTTAAGTATATTTACAAATTATAAATATATGTATAGGAGTCTGCCTTTATATCTGCTAGTACAGTAGTATGCATGTAATGTTTATCTGCTCTATTATGTCTGTAGTATGAAGTGTATCAGAATGAATAGCTCCATACATTGAGTATATTATTCTTAACACCTATATACTAAATTTTATGAGTATGTTAGTTTTGGGGGTTGTTTTGTTTGTTTTTGCAGTGCTGGGAATTGAACCCCATACACATGTTAGGAAAGTGCTCTACCATTGATCTACAGCCCTAGCCCTTTTTTGTTTTGAGACAGGCCTTGCTAAGGTATGCAGGAAAGCCTCAAACTTGCTAGCCTCATTCCTCAGCCTCCCAAGTACAGTGGACCCTGTATGTACAGGCAAGTACGACCAGCTTGACGTATGAACAAATTGGATTATGACCGAAATTTTAGTTCTGACTTTTGATGAAATTCTTGAGTTAAGACCCAAATGCTAGCTGCTTATGCTTTCAGATGGTCTTACATACAGATTTAACCCTTAAAAAGTTCTGGAAGGAACATTACAGTATCCTTTTCTGTGTGGGGTTAATTGAGAAATTCTGGGCCAGTGTCTCTCTAAGGACACTTGAGATTGGCTTCTGTACAGGAGAGAGATTTTGAAGGCTATCGAAGAGCCTGAGCTTCATTGACCCATTTGAGTTAAAACCTTTGGAAATGAATTCAATTAATAAGTCAAGGGTCCACTGTAGTTCTCCTTAGCTAGTTTGTTAGTATTTTGTACACAATTCTGATACTGTTTTTCCAGTTGGTTATATAAGCCTAACAAAAGATTATGGGTTGAGTATTCCTGAAATCTGAAATACTCCCAAATCCAAAACTTTGTGAATGTTATATGACACCCCAAGTGGAAAATTCTATACTTGAAACTTACTTCAAAAGATTATTAAAAATATAGAGTAAAATTAAACTCAGGCTCTTTGCTTAAAGTATATATTAAACATGAATCTCGTCTTTAGATTTTGGTCCTATCACTAAGATATCTATCTCTATATATTCCCAAATCCCTAAATATGCAAAATCTGAAGCACTTCTCATCCTAGGCATTTCAGAAAAGGGATACTCAGCCTGTATGTATTTGTATGAGTTAGGGTATTTCTCTTCTGTAGGTACTAGGATGAAATGATTAGGATATACAATTACCATTTTGGTTATTCATATATAGTGTATAAAGTAGCACTCCCACACACACTGAAGATCAAACTCAGGACCTTGAGCTTGCCAGGTGGGCACAGTGCCACTGAGCTACGTCTCCAGCCGCCCCCAACCCTGTAGCTTCTCTTTTAGTGTTCTTTTAAAATTATGCTTTGTGTATCTTCATGAGTGAAAAATTACAGGAGTGTTTTAATCAAATGTGAAAGGCATTTGTATGTAATTATATTTTTTCAGTTGTGAAATAGACTGTCTTGGTATCTTTGAGATAGGTGACTACTTTTAAGAGAACCTAAAGAATGTTTAGTTCATATTAATTAAGAGGCTAAGATCTTAAAACATACCATTTTTTAAAATGTGGTCTTCGGTATCTTTTATTCCAGAAAGTAAAGCAGTTTCATTTTGAACCACCATAAATAACTCCTTCCATTTTGATTTGAGAAATCTAAAGATAAAAATTTAAAGCTGTTTTATAAATTATCTAGATCAGATTTCCATGTACAGCTTTTTATCTCTACAGATTTGTTCACTCGTTTCACAAATTAAATTTTATTATATGCAAGCTCCATGATGAATAAGAAATAATCTTTGTGCTAAAGGACTTTACAGGCTAGTAGGAGAGATAAGACAGATTAGGAACAACTATAATACAGAATATCATGTAATATATTAGCATCTGAGTAGTGTAATTGAAATATTAAAAATCGCTGTTTAAAAAGAGGTCTTTGTTAGCTGTGGAGATCAGGAAGGACTTCTCAGAAGAGATGACAGTTAAATTGTGTTTTAAAGAAAGGTATTTGACAAAGGAATTGCTCGTGATTTCCTTCAGATATTAAGAAAGTTGTATAGGTAACAGTGGAAAGTTTAGCAAGTTATAAAATTGATAATGGAGAGTGGAAAAGAGGAATTTCATCTTGATATTGAAGTCACCTAGGTGAATCTGGCATGATGGGTATTTGAAAAGGTAGCAAGAGGAGATGGCATGGACTACAAATCGCGAGCTGACTTGAAATTAAGCCATGGAATCAAAGAAATGATGAGCCTACTCTTCACTTTAGTTCACAGACAAAAAAAAATAAAGATTTTGAGTAGTATGAGATTTTATAAGAGAAAAGAAAAAGAAGGGATTCATTCTTTTTAGGTTAAGTATCAAAGGAGAAGATGAATGAATTAGATTTGGAATAATGACGTTTTCATACTAACTGGTGATTTCACAGGGTCAGGTTGTATGAAGGTAGTACAAGAAGCACATGGTTAAAGAAATGAATGAGGAGAGAGTGAAGAGAAATATGTGAAAGTTCAAAGACCAAAGCAAGCCAAGAAGAATGGTCTCTGTAATACTTAAGAGATATGGACACAATGAAAGCTGAATGCTGTTACTGTTTTGAAAAGTTCTAGCAAAACCAAGTAAATGACACATCACTACTTGTGCCTAAATTGTTAGAGAACTCTTTCCACGGTACCTTAAAATACCTTCTACTTCATCTTTTCTTTTCTTTCTTTCTTTTTTTGTTTTTTTGTTTTTCTTCAAGGACTTTGCAGTGAGCTACATCACCAGCTTTATTTTTATTTTGAGACAGGGTCTCATTAAGTTGCCCAGGCTGGTGTGGAACTTGTAATCTTCTCGCCTCAACCCTCCAGAATGCCAGGATTATAGGCATGTATTACCATGCCTTGCTTACTTTATTCTTATATGGTTATAGTAGATCATTTGTTTCTTCTTTTCTTGAGCTCTTAGGTGAGGTTTTATAAAATAATAGTGTTTATAAGGCCATTTTATAATTTGAAGGTTTTTTTACATTGAAGAATTTTTTATTTAATATATTATACTCATACATGTATTAACTTTTTAATATTATTCATTATTTAATTTCATTGCCTAGAGGGTTAAAAAAATTTTGAGGGTGATATTAATTTTACCTGGGGAGGAAACCAGAGTGCACCTTTATTAAGTGATTTGCCTGATACCTTTATTTTTTATTTATATGTTTGACAGTGCCAGAGATTGACCCCAGGGCATTATGCATGCTAGGCAAGCATTCTGTCGTTGAGCTATGCTAACCTGTCTCCCTTATCTTTTAAGTCTTATGTTTTTCTTTCCAAAAAACTTCTCTTTAATAAAGCAATAAAGAGGTTTTGTGTGTGTGTGTGTGTGTGTGTGTGTGTTAACTCATTATAGATACATTAGAAACTTGTAGAATATCTGAAAATATAGTCTGTGAGATGGTAAGTGAATTGCTATTTTATAGACTTGGGATTTATTCTGTCTTGTGCAGTCCATAATATACAATAAGACTGTGAATAATTCACAAAGTAGGTATTCCTTATTGAAGTAATTGTTATCTGTTTTATATGATGCGGTGTCTACTATAGGTAAATTTGATTTTAAAAAAATTTGATTTATATTCTAATTTAAATCAGTAGTCAATACCATTTACTCATTTTCTTCCACAAAAGCACATTTTTTCACTTAATCTGAATAATTATTTTCTTAAATACAGTTTTACTTTCCTAGATCATGCTGTACATTGAAATGTGATGCCTTATTTTCAAATTTTCATATTAATTTAGTTATATAAGAAACCAAATTATTTAATTATGTTATTTACATAAGCCAGTAGGAATTGAAACTGCTAGTTATCTCTTGTTTTACTATTGATATGTAGACAGGCATCTTGGAAGAAATCTAGCCAGAATCTAAATCAGTATGAAAAATTTAAATGCTGTTTTGGCAACTTGTTCTTTATTTTCTTTGGGAATCTTCAGGTTTGGGAGGGGCACATACTTGGGGTTGATCCTCGGGCCTCATACATGGTGAGCAAACTATACCTCTGAGCTCCATTTCCAGTTTAAGGTTATGATTTCCATCCACTACATCAGGATGTACTGTAGAGCTATGGAGTGGAAACTCATCACTGTTACCTCTCCGTTCTCCCAAAATTCCCAAACAGGAGCATGGAGTCCACCAGCAGAGTATGTAACTCCTCCTCCTCGAGGGCTGAGATACTTTATCTAAATTAAGAAGGTACAATTGATTTTTTAGGGGTAGGCGATTTTCTTCCAAGTAATCTACAGAGAGATTTGACTCCCTAGAAAGAGTTTGTGGTTCATTCACAAATAATTTGTAAAGGTTTTCTTTTCTTATTTTGGTAGTACTAGAGATTGAATGCAGGGGCACTCTACTACTAAGCTACATCCCCAGTTCTTCTTTCTCAAGATAGTCATGCTAAGTTACCTAGACAGGTTTGACTTTGAAATCCTCCTGCCTCAACCTCCCAGACCGTGGGGATTATAGGAATATATCACCACACCTAGCTTAATTTTTGAGATAAGAGTCTAACACATTTGCTCAGCCTGGCCTTAAACTTGGAGCTCTTCTGCCTTCGCATTTTGAGTAGCTGGGATTATGGGCATGTGCCACTGTGCCCAGCTTTGTGGAGGTTTGGTAATTCCTCTTTCTCAGATTAAAGGTTAGTTTTTCTGTAAAAAGCTGCATAGTGAACATTCTAGACTTTGCAGCTAGGCAGCAAAACTGGAGCCAGAGTGTATATCCTTAAATGGCTACAAGTTTTTATTGACAAAATTAAGTACAGAATAATTTAATAAAATTTTCAAAAATATAGGCTTCTAGTTAGAATTACATAGGATTTGATATTTTGCTTTACTTATAAATGTCCCTTTAAGAAAAGGATTCTTAGCTCAAAAGTTATATGAAAACAGATGGTAGGACAGATATCACCTATGGGCCATAATTTGCTGACCCCTTGTGATAATAAATTATCACTGGTTTGTAATACTTCTGAGCTTGAACAAAACTCAATGCTATATTTTTGTATTCTTTAATAAAGCATTCAAAGAGAACTTTGGTCATTTTTAAGGGTTTAAATATAATTTTTATTTAAATATTCTGTTTGTTCTTGTGGAGAGAATGAGGTCTTGCCACTCAGCATTCTTGTGAGTGTCCAGTCTTGTGAGAATTTGTTGAGTTTTCAAAGAAGTAAAAACTTTTAAGAAGCAACTTTGAGGAAGAATGAGGTCTATAACAGCTGGTCCTAAGGACAGAGACTTTAGTATAGTTTTGAGTATTAAATGTTTTATATAATATATGAAGCAGAAAACTAAATGACTTTTTAGTATTAAAGTTTAATATCGAGTCCATCCCACTTTGTGTTTGTTGTTGTTGTTGTTGTTTATACGATAAAAAAAGTGTTACAGGGCAAGCAAAGCCTTTTGTCAAATGGCTCATATTTTCAATTGTGAGCATAATGACTTCTATTCCTGTCGCTATTTTCAAGCTTTTGAAATGAATATTGTATAGTTAACATGCAAACCCACAATCTACTCACAACTGATTTTTATTTTTCTAGGATTTCTGTCTGTGTAAGATATACTCTTTCCCCAGTAATGCAATGTATATATACTATATCATAGCCCTGTTCCTAATGTAACTTATACACAGCATGCAGTTAACTGTCCTCTAGTATGAGACTTATGTCTGTGGTGGCAATCACTAAAATGTCTGTCTGGTGGTGTGATGTTTTAGGATTTGAATATTTGGTGTTTCTTGGTTTGTTGCAATTTCATATTTTCATACAAGTTTGATCTGTTTACCTTTTGTTTTTGTGTCCTTTCTTTCTGTGTTCTCCCCACCTCTCTGCTACACCTTTCTTTTGGCAAAGATGAGGATTTCTGCCTTCAACATACATTGTTGGTCTTGTCTTCTGTTTTTGTTAGGAGGGACAGCAGTGTGATAAAAGAGGAAATCAAAGCCTTTCTTGCCAATCGGAGGATTTCCCAAGCAGTTGTTGCACAGGTAACAGGTAAGAGCTGAAGAGCCCTTTATTCTGGAATCGTGTCTGTTCTCTGCCTTCTGTGCAGATGTTGAGTTTGTTTGCATTTCTGCATTGCAGTGCAGATCTGTCAACTTAGGCACAATAATGTACACCGTGACTTAAGACCATTGTCTCTCATATCACGGAACTTCTCCAGTGATTTTTTTTTTCTTTTACTTGTGCTAGTAGATTTTATAGCATTCATAATAAGCAGGAAATTCCCTATTTTGCGACTAAAAGGGTTTCTCTTGTTTTCTTTTAATTGAAATAGAGCTTATAACACATGCACATCCAGCTACTATCTGCATTTCATATTTTTTAAAGCATTGCAGTCCTCCAAATCTAATTCCTGATTTTACCTTTTAAGAAACAATTCATGAAGGTAAAGGAAGTTTTTTTTAACTACTTTTCTGATGTGAAAGCTTTTCCTCAAACTATTGCTGAGAAGATGAGAGTTACATTGTCTTCTCTTTGTTCTTTATATCCCATCCCATTCTCCACCCCAGTCCAAGCCTCATCCCTAGTATGTGGTGTATATATGTCATTCTCTAGCCAGATTACATTTTTTATGAAGTTATTAAATTTGAGTGTAGTATGTCTTTTCTTTGTTAGTATGTGGTCTTCCTTTCTTGGAATTTAATGATATCCAAAAATATTAACCATGCTTTAGTCATTAGAAGAAACAAACTCTTGCAGCTACGTTTCATAGTTACTGTATTGTATTTTTATAATGGTAAATAGAAAATCTGATTTCTCCCTCTTTTTTTTTTTAAACATGCTGTCACTTAGGAAGCTATGTGATGGCTATTTGTCCTCTATGCCTCCTGTAGTTTTCTTCTATAATGAAAGAAACACTTGGATTTATTCTTCAACAGTACCTTCCAATTTTAAGGTACTCTTTTTCTTCTGTACACATTGATACTTTTGAAGCTAATTTACCTAAGAGGTTTTTGCTGACCATTAATTCAGTTAAAAATGAAATTTAGATATATTAAATTTCATTTCAAATATCTAAGCTTACCCAGTCTTTTTTGTTTATTTGTTTGTTTGGTTTGGTTTAAGTGAGGCAGTCTCTCTGTGTAGTCAGACTGGCCTTGAACTCACTTTGTAGCCTAAGCTAGCCTTGAATTTGCAGTGATGCTCCTACCTCAGCCTCCCAAGTTCTGGGATTGTAAGCGTAGCCATGACTCCTAATTTCACCCAATCTTTTATAATGTGTGTGTTACATCAGTAATATATTTTGTAAATGACCCTTGTTCGTGATAAAAGACTTTTAAGATACATCCTTTCATATAAAGTTCTTAGAACTGAAGAAGGGTATATGAATTTAACTGTTGTAGTCTCTAGGTATTTGTCAGTTTTTCTAAGGAAAGATTTATTTTGTCTTAAATTCTTTATCTTCAAGGACTAAGTCATGGTGCTTAAGAAATAGTATAAGGGCAAGTTATACATGTTTAACTAAAATTAACTGATGTGTTGGTCTATGGAGAAGATGGAATGTTGTCTTTTTGCACTTTTATTTCAGCCTCCATGATTAAAAGCAGTACTATCTTCTAGTTTGCAAACCAAAAAGACAAACAAAATTATAGTTTTATAGACCAATGTTACAAAGTTGCTTTGGTTCATGTGAAAATATTTCTGAGTATGTTGAATGCACTGAATCTTGAATCAGCTTGGATTTTTAAACTGGCTTTGAAACCTGTCCAACACTGATGTAAATCATAATAAGATACCTTTGAATAGCATTGCTTAGGCATGTCTAAAAACATTACATGTACCATAATGAGCTGAATATGATACATCAAATATTGTCATTTTGGAAAAGGAAACTGAAAGAAGTTTCCACATCTTGCTATTCAAAATGTAGTCCATAAAATAGCAGGATTGGTGTCACCCAGAAGCTTGTTAGACAGCTACCATATATAACTGTAGAGATAGCATTTATATCTTACAATATCCCCAAGTGATCTAGGTGTGAAAATACTTTTCTAGGAGACTGGTAAACTTTCCTGATCTTAATTTCGGTGGATTGGAATTGCTTAACATTGCCTTGCTTGGTAGTATACTGTCTCCTGTTTTTGAAAGCAAGAGTTGAAAAAGGTAATTCCTTAAAATGTGACTCCAATTTCCTTTTTTATTTTTATTTATTTATTTTTTCATTGAGTTGATTGGTACTTTTTAAGGATACAGTACAGTTACATTTATCATTGGGATCTTCCAACTTCCTTTTTTATTGCCATCTTCTGTTCAGTATATTCCCTGTCTGAGTTCAACTGCTTTCAATTTTCAGAGTGCTGTTTAATTGGATGATTCTCAGTCCTTCATGGTATGTAGTAGGCCTCATCATAGCTTTATTTATTTCTTTTAACCAATATTACCTCAGTTATTATGCTCATTTGGTTTGGGTATAATTCTTACATTCTAGTATAATTAATTATATTTAGTTCGCCACCCTGAGGATTACTACTCCTCTCAGTTATCATTGTAGAGTAATATCCTTCAAAGACTGTGACTTTTTCCTACATATGCTCAGAGAGTCTCACATTGTATATGTTCCATAAACATTTCACATTTACCTAGTTAGCATATAGAACTACTTTGTGGAGTAAGGGGAGTATTACACCGTAAACAAGGAGTTAACACAAACTATGCATGTGAAAAATTGTCCAGTATAACTTCTCCAGGAGTAATATTTACTCAACAAATGCTGCATGCAATTATGTCCATAAAGAATTTGCAATTTTCTTTTATTGACAAGGCTGGAGAATGAGGATAATTGATAACCAGATTGGTTCATTTGTCCTGTGGGTCATCTTACTGAATTCATGTATTTCTCATGTATTACTTAAGTACATTACACTTTCCATCCCACCTGTCCAGCCCTCGAGTCTAAGAGGGACAGAGCTCATTGCAGAGATGAGGTCTTGCTAGAGAATAGTGAATTAATGAGAACCTAAATGAAGTCTGGCCTCATAATTGATCCATCAAGGATAAGAACCTTTCTGGATAAGGAAACCTGCTAGTCACCTAGAGCTCATTCCCTGAAATATCTTGATTATATAAACACAGTTTTCTGTCTTTAAACAAGTTAGTCAAGTGTATCTTAAAAGAATATCTATGTGATGAGATCAGCCCTAAAGTTTGGGATGTGGTATTCTAGAATCTTATCCTTTATCAAATCCCTTTAAAGTCATTTAAGGTCAACTCTAATATATGAAATCAACCTTGATATAAAAATGAGAACAAATGGTGCATAACAAAAGAAAATGCTAAATAACAAAGTGTAGTGAGGTGCAAAATTATAACACATGTGTTGTTCCAGAAACAAACAGAGATTTCTTTTTATAGATTTGGAGGATTTCTATAATAAGATAAACAAGAAGTTCATGGGTGGGGTCTGTATAAGTAATATCCTACTGATAGGAAAAATGACAGTATAAACAGGATATAATAACAGTGCCTGCTGAATTTCCAGCATGTTATTTGCAGCTTTCTTCACAGTCACAGCTGCTCCCACCAACGGTGGATTTTTATCTCTGTAAGACATTGGCCAAGATTCTAAATTCTAACAATGATGAGGTGGTGAGCATAGCCTTTACTTTAGTAACAAACACATGTATTGTATATTTGCTTTCAGGCTAACATGTGTTCCTAGACTGTTTACAGATTCTTAAAACATAATTTTTTACAAATGACCTCTGGGAAAAAAATCAGGCTTGAAGAATGGTAAATGGCAGAACTTGATGGATGCTTCTCAGCCAAAGAAATAACACTAGTTGAGTTCATGTCTTAGAAAAAATAAATATGTGGAAGAAGAAAAACATTTAACACTTCTGAATTTTAAAAAACATTGCATTACAATTTTATATTTTTTTGAAATTTTAACAGAATTTTAGGGTTTTTTTTTTTTTTTCTTTCTGGCATTAGATTGTCTTATGACCTGGATTCTCAATTTCCTTTTTAAAAGAAGATGTGTTTTGACTAAATAGTTTTTGTCTTGTTCCATTTAGGCTGGCAACTATAACAAAATACATAAACTGGGTAGTTTCTCATAGTTCTGGGAACTGGAAAAGTCCAGGATCAAGGCCAATTCAGTGTCTCGTGAGCACCTGCTCCTGGCATAGACTGTGCCTTCTTACTGTGTCTTCTCAGGGGCGAGGCATCGCTCTGGCTCTGGACCTTTTTCTCCGGGCACTAATTCCATTCTTGAAGGTTCCAACCCACATGACCTAATCATCCCTAAAGGTGCCCTTCTTAATACCCTCACCTTGAGGATGACAATTTCAGAATGTGAATTTTAGGGAGATATAAATGCTCAGAACATAGCAATTTGCAAGTATCTTTAGCTGTTAAATTCTGTTCTGTTTTTAAACTGGAAATGCGTTTCACAGGCATGTATCTCACATGTATCTAGGGATTTTTCATCACCAAAATGTAAGAATTCATGTAAAGTTCTGAACTGGTTTTAGAAGTATTCCAACTATATTCAAATCACTTCCCTTATTTATTTCTCTTAAACATGAAGGATGAAAATGTTACATGTTATGTTGTTATATTACATTATAAAATACTACAGTGTGACTTGTTTGCAGAGTTGAAGAAATTACTATAGTGATCTTTTTTGTAATCATAGGACGTCAGACCAGATACTGAATACCAATTAACCTGCCAGTGTACTCCTTTAAAGACATGAACTTCTTTTTCTAGATCAGTTTTAGGTTCACAGCAAAACTGAGCAGAAGCTAGGATTTCCCATGCCTGCCTTCCCACCCTCTGTACATAGCCTCCCCCACTGTCACCATCCATTGTAATGTCATTGTCAACTCAAGTCCGTAGTTTACATTGTGTTCCTTCTTTTCATTTTGAATTTTTCCACAGCTTTTTATTAGAGCATATTTGTTATAAAGATCATCGGGCTTTACTTTGGCAGATTGGTGTGTGCGTGTATAGGAGGTTTCCTCTTGGCATTGCATATTCCATAGAGTTTG